TATTTCAAATACTTTTCAGTTAGTATAGTTTTTCCTATAGAATCAATATGACATAAGATAATATTTCATATCTTTAGAAAAATCACTTAGCTATGAAGTAGAACTGTTTTAATATTAATATAAAGCATAAACTTTTTTTGTAATAAACTGAAATTGTCATTTTTTTTTTACTGTAAAGTGAATTTAATATATAGGTCTGGTTGTTACACAGCTAACAACTATTTGAAAAATCCCTGCAGGTCTTAGCCAGTCGTTGTTCCTTTGAGAAAACAGAAAGAACAAATGTTCTTGCCCTTGCAGAGTTTACAATTGGTTAAATGATCTTGGACTGGGGTAGGACCCTGTTACTCTTCTTCTTCCAAAAAGACATGAATCTTTTGAAAGCTAATCAGCCCATGAAAGCAAAATAATAGGGTGATAGAAAAGGAGCAAAACTGTATAACAACAATTACACAGGACTAATTTGCCACGCTGCATCCCATTAATTTTACTAAATGTTCCTACATCATTAAAAAAAAGTGACATTAAATAAACACATAAAAAATAACACTGTTATTTGTTCTACTACATTCGGGACCTATACATAATTATAAAGGTCCCATGACATACACTACAGAGCTTGTAGAATGTGGAAAAGATGTAATCCTTCTTTCAAAGTGTTTAAATATCATTTGGTTAATAAACATTTATTTATACTGTGCAAAACACAGTACTAGGCAATGGAGAAAATAAAGGAAGGCATAAGATTCTTCTACTTTGAGATGCTTACTATCTAATTGGAGAAATAAGATTTTCATGATTGTGTGTGTATATGCTCAACATACACTGATGCATAATATTTATTACAAGACATAATTCATGGCTAAACTTTACAATAGAGATTAAAAGTAATATAAGAGCACAGAAAAAATGACAGTTTGTGAAATTGTAAATATTTTCTCAATTCTTAGAAATTCTTGTACTTTTATTTTCCTGCAAGCAAGGTTATTAAATTTCATTACATTAAATCTTCAGGTTATATTTCTATTTCTAATCCCCTCTCTAGTCACACAAGTACACTTTTCCTCTGTCCTCTTTGCCTATTCATCCTTCAGTACTCTTTCTTTAGGAAGCTTTCCTGTGTTTCTTCCTTCCCATTGTGATACATACTTTCTCTCTTTCGCCCTGCTCTCCAAGATGAACTCAGCATATGGTAGGAGTTGAAGTGGGATGCTTCAAATAGCACCCTGTATGTTCTCTGTCAAAGACAGGTGATCACAGTAAAGTGTGACAAATGCCATCTATCTTTCCTGCTAGACCCTAAGCTACAAGACAGTAGAAAACACATCCATCTGTATTTTCACTGTTTTCCTAGCACTGAACCTAGGTCCTGATTTACCAAGTATCTTGTGAATGCATGAATATCCAATAATATATATCTTAACCTTCAAAATAAGTAATACTTGGACAAAAATATTAATATAGTCCTCTGACATACCATTTGAAGGGCTGAAAGTTCTTCTGATAATCGAGAAATCTGTATATTATATTGCTTTTTTGTGCTTGTGATCTGTAAATTAAGACATTTAGACATTATTTAGGTGTAGAATAAAATGATGAACATCTGATAAAAATATTTAGGATAACAATTTTGATAAAAATAAAATCATAACTTTTAGGGCATAAAAGATAAATAACACAATTTATTAAAGAGCCAAGAATTTGTCATGAGAGTGGAAGGAGAGCAAATAGGATGATATTTTTAAAGGGGCAGTTGTCCAACTTTTTGTTCTCAGGATCCTTTTACATTATAAAAATAAAGAGCTTTTATTTATAATGAGTTCTATCAATTTTTATCATATTAGAAATGAAAACTGGGCCGGGCGCGGTGGCTCACGCCTGTAATCCTAGCACTCTGGGAGGCCGAGG